TCAGCTTAAATTCATACTTGGGTCTTTTCTGACACCTGACAAGGGAGTGAGTACACATTTATCTTTTGGGCTATAATAATTACTTTCCATCCCATTATTCTATATCCAAGAGACTGTGACAACCAATGAATTAAATAGTATGGCTCCATAGGAAGGATTGTAATGAATTTTATTTCCCTGCCTTTTTTTTAAAATAAACAAAAGCAAATAATCACTTTGTCCATATTTTAAAATCTTCACTTACCAATTTAATGTAAGTAAAAAGGAATACTGAATTAGAAGCTGGCCATAATTCGGAAACTAAAGCTGATTTTTAATGCTGTCCTCATAGCAAAACATTTGACTTCTTGACTAAAAAGAAAACTGCCTAATGTTGCAAATTAATGGTTATTATGCAATCCATGTCTTTCACAACAAGCATAGAAAAGAACAATTCTAAAATTGAGAGAAACAAGCTAAATATTCTACAAACTTAGGAAAGTACAGAAAAAAATTCAAATCTGTGGATTTTTAGAAAATCCACAAACAAAATTAAACTCCATGTCTCTCTTGGAAATTATGTCAGAAACAGGACCTATTATATTTTTAAAAAATAAACTAGGCTAGACATTGCTGTCAAGAAAGTGAATAGGAACAAAAAATTAAAATAGCCCATCCAAGGTTACCATCTTGAGACGCATAAGAATTTTTACTGACTTAGCTTCCTTTACAAGGACTAGATTCTTCTTCCCACTTTGACTATTAGCATCCTTTCTAAACCCTCTGAGCTCTCAAGAAACTTGGTTTTGTTACCCCAACCATTTTCTTCTCTGAAATACTTTGGATTTTCTTGCACAATTCAGCTTCTGGTTTTAGGCTGTTCTGCCATCTGTTGGTTCCACACATGTCATCTTCACTGTACAGCCAGACTGTGGGAGCCTCAGGCAGGTGGACATGAGCCTTACAAACTATATCCTTGACTCTGCTCAACATCTGTAGGGTGGAGAGTAGCCAAGACCTCTGCATTTCTATCAAGTGATGTCTCACCTACTTGTTAGCTAAGTTATTTTCTGAACCAGAGTTTCATCAGCTATAAAATAGGCAGAGTCGCTGGGACTGGTTTGGCTCAATGGATAGAGCGTCGGCTTGGGGACTGAAGGGTCCCGGGTTGATTCCGGTCAAGGGCATGTACCTTGGTTGCGGGCATATCCCCAGTAGGGGGTGTGTAAGAGGCAGCTGATCAATGACTCTCTCTCATCAATGTTTCTAACTCTCTCTCCCTTCCTCTCTGTACAAAATCAATAAAATATATTTAATAAATAAATAAATAAATAAATAGGCAGAGTCACACCACCAGCCGCCTGGGCTGTGGGCAGATTGGTTAACTATAAAATATGGACAGTCACACCACCAGCCTCCTGGGCTGTGGGCAAATTGGTCAACTATAAAATAGGGACAGTCACACCACCAGCCTCCTGGGCTGTGGGCAGATTGGGTGAAATAATTCACTATTGCTTAGCAGAGAGCCTGGTACCCAGGAAGCCCTCAGAAAATGGCAATTTTCTGCTCCACACATATTTGCTGACTCTAATGGATAATCCTGAATATTCTACCATGTCCAGAGACAAAACATTTCTCATCTGAAATTAGGAAGTCACATATTATACAGCTGCAGGTTTACGCAGATGGTCTTTCCTTGTCTGGGGAATCTTACTGTATTTCGGCGATTCTTCTCTCCCCCTCCCCCCTCACACTTTAGTATCTTGGAACTCAGGAGGTGTCTTATAATCCAGTCTTCCAAGCAGCTGAAAGATGTTTTGTTGTTGTTTTTTAGAGTCAATCAAATCCAGCACAAACTGACTGATTCTTTTGAAGAACGAGATTTTAAAGAATTATATTCCAAAGCTTCTAACTCTCCTTCTATGTTGCTCTTCATGCTTTTAACTCTGCCCCATAAGCCCCCCGCTCAGAGAGTCACCATCCTTGTCCTTTAAATGCCATAGACAAAGAGACACTGCTCATTTTTACCATGGCCATGTTTTCTCAGCCATTTGACAGTATTTCAAATTGATACCACTTCAAACTGATCCCCGTACTCTGAACGCAGAAAGTAATTGTTATTAGAGTTCTCTCACAATTAAAATGCCTATCTTGGAAAGTCATGATATTGATATATGTCCTGATTTTCCAAGAATATTTTTTTAGTTTTGCCTATTGTCCCAGCATAATTATTAACAGCAATTTCTTTCATCCTCAGGCGTACTCTGGTTTGGGCAATAGATGATAAGATCACCCAAGGTGAAAACCAAGGTAGGTCCAAAATTTCTAGTTTTCATGTGCTATGTTTCAATTTTGTCTTTGTTATTTGTAACCTTGTGCTTCTAGTCAACCAGTCATTTGTGTGGTTCAGGCAGTCTTCATTCCTTCATATTTTACTGCTCACTGCTTATACAATGGAAAGCAAAACATACATGGCCCTAACATCCGGAGTTTACAACTCGGAAGAGCAAACAGACATTAATTAATTACACATAATAAATGCCACAATCCCTCGGGAGAGGTGCAAGCTGCTCTGATTGTGACATGAGGTGGAGGGTGGACCTTGGAGGCAATAGAAATGCCCCTGCATTGTTTGCTTCATCCCAGAGCACGTCATTTCATTTTAACACAGCGTTCAAAATGTCACTGAGTTTGCCTTCCATTCATGTGCTGTGATGCAGACATTTCAGTACAAAGAGGCCTTTCTGAAGTCACGCACAAAGTCATAATCATGGGTATTTGAAGGTCATTGAACAGAAAGTCAATCTTGGTTTCTTACTAAAGTGGCAAAATGATGTGGGAGCAATAAACAGGGAGAGGACAGAACAATGATATTTGGGATTAGGGTACCCATGGTATCAAGTTTTCTGTTTTGTTTTGGGTTGGGTTTTCCGCTCCGGAATTCCTTTAGGAGCACAGTTCTAAGCATACAGCAAAAAAGCTCAGAGCATCGTGACTCATGATGAGAGGGAAAATGAAGTTCAGAGAAAGAAGGCTTGGACCCACATTCAAACAGAGAAAGGAGAAGGATAAAAGGCTTGGTTTCCCACAGTTCCTGTCTCCTTTCTGAGATCTAATGCCAGCAACCAAAACAGACAGTGATTGGCTATTGGTGGGGAGGATGAGTGAGCATGGAGGCTCTGGGAGGGACTCCATAGGCTACGAACAAGCAACGTTCTGAGAAAGCACTGTGGGAGAGCAGACACCAATGTGGGAGCCTGTGTTAGAAAGACCGCTGGGAACAGGATTCTAGTTATTGACAAAGCGCCAGGTGTGTAAATTTACTTCCCACGTCATGATTCACTGGTCTGCTCCCCACTTATCTGTTTTTTCGAAGAGCACATTTACAGTACAAATAAACCCTTCCAAAGACAGGAAATTAAATAATAACTATGTAAGTGTACCGGCCCCCAAGGCCAAAAGAAAAAGAAAATTGGCCCATGGTGCCTTCACAGAGAATCTATAAATGATTATGCTGCCTCTTTACTAATCCAGATAAGTTCCACATAAATGTTAGCTGTGGTTGGGCAAATATTTTATCTAGCCAAGTGTTTACTAAATGAGATGTGATTATCATTAAAAACTCAGCAAATTCTTCAAGGACTAGAGATGACACTGGTGGTTACATGTGTTGATTTTTCATTTAATGGTGTGTGATGAATGCAAGTTGAGGTAGCAGACAGAACTCTCTCTCTGGGATCAATAAGCCTATGTTTAAATCCTGGGAATGCCATTTGTCACCTGTTTGTCCTAGGCAACTCTTTGAGCCGTGGTTTCCTCATCTGTGTAATGGGGATATTGTAATGACATGAGGATTCTGCCTTCAGTTTTGAGAATTTAATAAGATACCACGTGAGAGTACTTAGCAGTGCCTGGCATGTCATCAGGAAATAGTAGCTGCTTTGATGGTGATTGGGTTCAAAATTCTCACCAGTAACCTAGGAAAAATGTAGTATCTCCTAATCATGTTTTTCCCCTCATATTTAGACTAATCTAACTGTGTCTGCTCTGTTTACTTGCCACAAATTATTACAGTGATCAAGTGATATGTCACATAGGAAATCATCATTAAAACTACCAATTTCTTTATAAATGTAAAGTATTATCTTTCTTCTCTATTGTTTCTTTGGGTTTATAGCTGCCTTATTATAGTTCACTTTGAAACAACACAGGTTTGATCTGTACGGGTCCTTGTATATGTTGACCCCCCCATAAATACAGTCAGTTGTTCTTATCCCGGGGTCTGGCACCTGCACATTCAACCAACCATGGATCGAAAACAGTATTTTCTATCTGCAGTTGGGAATCCTCAGATGCAGAGAGCAGACTGTAGGCCATTTTGTTTAAGGGACTTGAGCATCTGTGAATTTTGGTACCTGAGGATGGTCTTGGAAACAACCCCTTTGTGCACCCCACCTCCTCCTTCCAAGATACTGAGGATACTAAAGAACCATTTTTGTTAACTTTTGGGGGAGTCAAAAGTAATATGCAAGTTTTCATTGATATGGGTCTCAGCATCTCTAACCCCTCCCTGTCTTGTTCAAGGATCAACTGTATTTGTCTTTATTTAACATACATGTTTCCAAGTGTATAAAACAGGTAGTTTCTCTGCTGACAGGTAGTTAGGACTCATATGTTCTCCCCAGAGACTTCCCTTCCTATGAATTTCTTTATTAGTATTTCAATTAATTCATTTAATATTTATTAAGTTCTTGTGTATCACCTTTCTCCTCTTCTTCTAAGCTTAGTTAGAAGATAGCACCAATATTCATTGGTTCTGGTCTTAGGGCACAATGTGCTTAGTTATCTTGTTTTTTAATCTTCAAAATAAGGACAAAAACCTACTTCAGGGAATAGATGTAAGAATTAGGTGGGTGTTAAATGTCATGTTCCACAGGGACCCATTGAAGGCAGCATTCTGTTGAATACTGAATTCTCTCCTGTGCGCTCAGTCCAAGGCTGTCCCCTTGGACTTAACTGACCTGTGGATGATGCGCTGGCTCTGCAGGTAGTCCAGGGCCATGGCCAGCTCACAGATGAAGAGCTTCACGGTGTCTTCCTGGAAATGGACGTTCTGCTGTAGGTGATACCGTAGGTCCCCACCCAGCAGGAGGTCCACCACCATGAACATGTCTTCCTCGTCTTGGAAGGAGTACCTGGGAGAGAGTCAGAAAGAAACATGTGTGTGGAACAGCTACACACAGAGGAGTCCCAGAAGTGAAGACACCCTACAGATCCGAGCAGAATGTGGTTGAGCTAAGAGGTCAGGCTTTGGGAGTAGATGATTTATCATTCACTCTATGGCTCTGGACCCCCAGTTTCCACTCATATAAGATGGGAATAATAATATCTACCACCTTTGAACATGGTAAAAAAAAAAAAAAAAGAAGTATAATAGCTAAGTCATGCCCTGGAATATAGTAGGCATTCATTAACTGCTTGCTTACAAAGTTATAAAGCCAAGGAAATAAAGAAAACGTCACTTATTCACTTACCATTAACGATCATATCCTAACTACACTTTTTAAGAGGTCCATAAAATGTGGATTACAAAACCTCCTGAAAGCACTCTGGTGCCCATTTCCCGATGCCATGCTTCATTGCCCAGCAACACGATGAAAAAGCGTGAACCAACACTAATGACAGGAAAAGAATTTAAAAGGAGCAATAAAGAAGTAAGTGCACAGTCCAAGGACATGATTTACCTAGAGTTTGAGAAGAGGACGTGAGGGAACGCTTCTCACCAGAGGTAAAACCCGAGCTACCTTCTGAAGGATGGTGACAAGAAAAAATCACTAAAAAATAAAACTAATATCGCTGACATTTCTACTGAGCAACTTCTTCCCTGGGGAAGACTCAGAAACATCCAATAGCAATACACCTAGCAGTCTCAGAATGCTGCTTTTATGCTCCCATTTTACAAATGAGGAAATCCAGGCTCACTGAAGTTCAAGTAATGCACGAAAATCAAGCACCCAATACATGGCTGATCTGAAGAGTTTTCCGGGTCCAAAGTCATAGTCGAAAGAGAAAAGTAACACATGCTAAGCACAGACATGGGAGAAAACAGAGAGTGTGTGGGGAAAGGAAACAGTGTGGGTTTTCTGGAATCATAGGGAGGATGGGGAAGTGTGGGTCTGGAGAGGAAGGCAGAGGGTAGATCACAGGATGGGAGCTCTCAGAATCCTATAGGTGCTGGGGAGACATCGAAGGGTTTGAGGCAGGATGAATGATCCGATGCAGGCTTCACGCTTGATGGAGCAGGAGGGGGTAGAGGGATGGGAAGAGAAAATGAGCCGCAGGAGAGCAGATCTGGCCTCTGCTGTTTGCAAAGAACTCCCTGTTTTTTAAAAAAAAAAAAAAATGCTTTCCTACTGCTTTGATCGATTTTGTTTCCCTCAAAGACTTGGCATCCCCATAGAGCTCTTTGTATCAACACTGTTTTGACATGTTTCTCTTGACATGATGTCCCTGAAATCACATGTTCAAGTTTTACTTGAATCCGAGAATTAGTGCCTGCAAGCAGTGTCCGGGGATGCAAACCAATTCCTTGTGACAAATTCCCTGCTTAGGAAACAAATGTAGAATATCGATGATGGGTGAACGGTACTTCGTACATTTTGTTCTTTATAATGATCATTGTGCTGAAGGATAAGGAAGGGACTTGAAAACACAAGAAAAAAGAGAAATTCCATGAAGCATTCATGTGAGGCACTAAGATTCTAATGAGGAGTAACTGTCCTGATGTTTACTTGTTCAATAGATAAGATCGTGTTTACCACGGAAGACTGAGTCACACAGAAGATGTTGGAAATGAAGCTCCTGGGGCAATTTAGACAGAAACACAGGAAGTGCTTTGTGAAAATCTGAGAAACACATCTTTGGTATTGCCTGTTAGGAAATAACATTCTTCACCTCGTTGCAATGACTGGCTGGTTGTCTCTGCCATACGTTTTGTGGGCACCAGGAAAGGTGCCTGCACCTGAGCTGTTTGGCTCACCATCCAACTGCACCACTAGAATGATGTTTGTTGTGTTTTACAGTTCTTTCAGTAAGCAACAGTAATTACTATGCAACCATGCCTGGGACCTGTTGTACCTCAGAGTCCTCTCAGCTAACATAACAGAAACAATGATTGCTTAGGCTGTGAGCAAAGTCTTTTGGGATGGCCAATCAATCAGGTAGAGAGGGTGAGGTGGATGAGAACTGAGTGTCAACTACTAACAGATCCAGATGCCAATGGAAACAATCTATGCAGACGGGGGTGGGATTCAGAGCAGCTGTGACTGCCTTCAGCTCACCACTGGAGGCAGACAGGTGGAGAAATTAGTGACAGATAGAGGACTCTCCCCCATGACTCCACTCAACTCGAAGGGGGACAGTGGTTTTATTAAACTCACCCTGCAGGAGCAAACTTTTTTTCTTATTAGGGTTAAGTTATTTTTATTCTAAGAACACACTGGAAAAGGTGCCCATCATGGCAAGACAATAACAATGTTCAACCATGCAGGGAATTATTAATAAAAAAAAAAAAAGAAAAGGCAAGAAGCAACATGTTTCCTTTGCCCAGTCTGAATCTCAATTTATTTAAGCCTGGAGTCAGGTTTAGCTGTTAAAAATCATCTTTCTCCTTCAGCACATAAAATCGGAAACTCTGTCTCAGAATTTAAACTCTCAGAGGGAGTTTAAGTATTTTATTTTCGAGATCTGTACCTAGTGAAATAGTACAGTTTGGTGATAGCTGGAATATGCAAGTTTAGATCATCATTATTATTTTTCTTTTTTAAAGAAAAGAGTAAGAGTTATTTTGTATCTTGGTCATTTAGCACCTGGACTCACTGTTGCATTTCTACACCTTTTGTTTTTTTTTGAAATGCTACCTCATGGCTTATTATTTCTTAGTTGATAGCTCCGAAATGAACAAGTCTGGTCCCAGTGCATGGGAAAGACATTGCAAAACGTGCTCAGTAAGGGGAAATAAATAATAAAAGGCAATCTCCCTAATGCACCCTAGTCTACCATGTTTGACTCAGACCATTGTATTAGGCTATTCGGATTTCTCTCTCTTATCCTAAGACATCTCCAATCCATTCCACACAGCACAGTTACATGTAAAAAATGTGAGTCTTATGTTCTCCAGGCTTGTAAAACCCTTTCATCTATTTCCATGGTAAGCATGTCAAACTCTCGACCTGCGGGCCACATGCCTTGTTTATTTGGCCCATGTTAGCCTTTGAGTTTGACATGCTTGCTGTACAATCCGGCCCTGTTTCCTTTTCCAGACTTATCTTTAAGATCTTTTCTTTTCATTCCTCCACTAGGAGTCCATGCCTTCCTCTGGCCCAAGAAGCTTGTGACATGGTGTGGGCCGTGCTGTCCACTGCCTGCTTGTTTTCTATTTGCTCTCCAGTCTCAGCCCCAGTGCCCCTTCCCACTGAGCCATGTCCCACGTCCATGGTTAAACCTGGCTTCCTGTTTTATGTGATGCCAGGTTCTTGTTCATAGGACTAATGGTGATTTGAGTGATTTGAAAATATTTTCCTGTGTGCAATTGGGCAAACTGTTTTTATTCTCACTGTGCTATCAGAAAGCATGCCTGCTTTTACTCATCCTCGACCTCTCAGTACTTGTCCACTATCTGAAGCGTACGCTCTACAAATAGCTGTAGAAAAATAATAAATGAATAAACAAAGAAGGGAAAGAGAAAAGCAAGGTTAACACAAAAGTGTCAGGTGGGTTTGTGACACATTCTTTAGGCTCTATTTTTATAAAATCAGCATGGTTACCAAATAAGTTTAGTCAAATCACATCTTGAGGTGAACTTCAGTCTAAGCACCGAGAGAGACCTAGAATATTCTCATATGCAGCATTTTTTGAATTGATGCTCACCACCCATTAATGGGTTGTGAAATCAGTTTGGCTGTTGTTTTTGAAGAAATGAAATAGGTTAAATAACAGAATAAATGCTATTAACATGTAAGGCTACATATTATTCATGAAACTTTGGTTCTTGCGAATACAACGTGTGTCATTGTGTGTGTATCCACCAGCTAGTGATGAAAAACATCTTTCTTTCTATTGGTGGCAGTCAAGAAAAATGATGAGTCCTGGCCAATTTGGCTCAGTGGATAGAATGTCAGCCTGTGAACTGGGGGTTCCAGGTTCGATTCTAGTCAAGGGCACATACCAGTTTTGTGGGCTCTATCTCCAGTAGGGGGCATGCAGTAGGCAGCCGATCAATGATTCCCTCTCAACATTAATGTTTCTGTGTGTGTGTGTGTGTGTGTGTGTGTGTGTGTGTGTGTCTGTGTCTCTCTCTCTTCCTCTCTGAAATCAATAAAAATATATTTAAAAAAAGAAAAATGACACGGAGGAAGCTACTGCCAACTGCAGCACTATTGCAACAAATCCTCATTTAGACTCTACCTAAGCAAGGGTCAGTTCTTATACATCCAACTAGCAAAGCAAGGGAGACACATGACTGGTATTAGTTATTGCTCCTAAAAGCTATTCAATTTTGGAGAAAAGACATTGATTGATTTCAAATATATCACACCGAAGGGAAATAACGTGAGAAATGCACAGGCTTCAGGCAGGTCTGGCTAAATATCGCAAGAATTTAGAGAAAGGTTCTTAAAGGAAACTCAGAAAGGATACCTGTACATTGAGAATGGTTTTATGTATCACATGGTGAAGAGTAAGTTAGATATACTGTATGTATAGTTATTAACACAAAGCATTTTCACATAGCATAATGGTGAAAATCTTGGCCTTGAAATTTCAGGTCTGCCCTTTAACATCTTTGTAATAATTGGAATAAGCCCTCAGCCTCCCCATTTATAATAGTACATGCCTCATATGGCTGTTGGGAAGATAAGTGAGTTCAAATATATAAATGGCTTACAACAGTGTCTGGAAGATAGCAAGTAACAGATGTTAGCTATTATTATAATTACCTTCCTTTTTCCACTCATAAATGTAATACAGCTCTGGTAGTAAGCAGATAAATTTGTCTTATGCCAGTGTATCTTATTCTTGTATATGAGGTAATTATATGTAGATAGTTATTATCAGTGGTATAACCAGCATGCTTCCCATTAATTGAGCTTACTATGTCTCAGACATGATATCAGGTACTTAATGTATTTATTGCATT